TTAGCCCACGAGCTTCGTAATGCTAGCAACTCGTTACCAAGCTCGTCAAGAGAGTCGTCCAAAGAGACAGTACATAAGACAGGTTCAGGGTGTTCCGGGCGATGGGCCGAAGAAGAACCATCCTCTGCCATGTGAGTCGAAGGGTTGGAAGGGTTAGTAGGCACCTTATTTTCTTCTTGATCCAAACCCTTAGACTCAATAGGAGCAGATGCTACTCCTGCTGGCGGCTTGCTTTTGGGTTTCGGATAAGCGGGCACCATGCAATCACATGCCCTGGGGTACCACACTTTAAACATTGTGCATTATCCATTCTTTCCTGCCACGTTTCCTGTGACAGGCCCATCTTTTCCCATGGCCTCCCGACCGCAATCCCGGGATGCTCTGGGAACGAGCGTGGCTTCTTCTTACTGGCGGTCATGGTCCTCCCTTGTTGACCACGGCTGCAGTGACTTCCCCCTTCCCAGAATCACTGTTGCTCGCCACACCCTCGGCCTCTAAGGGCCACTTCTCAACAGTATCGTCATCAAAGACGATGAGGGTGTGGTCCTGGCGCTTTTGTCGCCAAAGTATTCGCTTTCCTGCACCTGCACCACCACCAACCTTGACAACAAATGCATACGAGTTCTTAACCTGTGAAGTCATTTGCTCTCGTTGGAGAGCCAGATCACGAAATTACCTATAATTGTACTTACCATATTCTGCCACGAGTTGTCCACGAATGGGCTCGGGCAGAGCGCGAAAATAGATATACAAGACTTGGTTGTCTTGCAGGTTCAATCCAGGAACCTGCAACAACCGGTTGACTTCTCGAGACAAAGCTTCTACCGAGGTCCAATGGTTTTGACCAATGGTAGTGAGCTGGTCAAAGGCCTTGTTGGTCGTTGTCTTATCCAGGAAGCGTTCCTTGATCTTGCCAAGGAACTGCTTCGTAGGCAATGTCCCAACCCACGCCCCGATATCATCGAACCCCGCTGCGTTAGCCTCGGCCAGAACCCATTCCTTCGCTTCCCCCCCGAGACAAGAGGTAGAAAAAGCAACCTGGGACTCGGGTTTCAACAGGGGCCGTACTACAGTACGTATGAATTTCTGCTATCCAGAGCAATAAATTCTCATCTTTTTTGTTGCAAAACGTAAAAGGCAATTTCATCTTCACTTTTTCTTTTCTTTTCAGCTTCTCCAGTTCCATACTTATCTTACCTTGCGGAGACTTTGGAGGTGGAGAGGGAGGAGGTGTAGGAGTGTTTGGTGGAGAAGACAGCGGACTTGATCCCCCTCCATGAGACGACTTCCCCCCTCCAGTACACAATTTCTGACCCTGAGGATCAGTAGACTTCGTTGCATCACTCATGAACTTCTTGACTTCTTTCTTCTCTACTTTAACTTCTTCTTCTCCTTCTACTGGATGCTTTCCTTTCATAATATTTGCGATAGTTCGCAATCCTACAGCAATCTCGTCTAACTGATTTTACTGTCTGTCTATCTTTTCTTCCAAGAAGGTAAGGCAAGTCATGGTGTGATACAACGCCTGTGTCATGTCAATTTGTTCTTTTCCTTCTGTTCCTATCACTTATCATTTCTTTCACTTTCTGTTCCCGCCTCAATTCTTGTTCATGTTTCCGAGCTAGTTCTTCTTTCTTCCTTTCTTCTGCAGCCAGTGCCTCTCTTAATTGCTGGATGTTCACGTCAATCGTAGCCTCGATCACTTCTGGTCTGATTTTCCCTTTTCTAGACAACTCAATGACTTCTTTCAGCTGCTTGATAACAAACTGGTCCAGCGCCTTCCAGCACTGGGCCATCATTTTAGACACTTCGGTCCCGGTAGCCACAACTTCCACGGCCGTAATTGCTTGCTTTAAACGGTTCTCTACCGTCTTCAAATCAAACAGATTACGAACGTGTCGTTCGGATTCCGGTCCGGACACACGCAAATCATTCATTAACTGGTCCCATAGAGCCAATAACTCTTGTTTCTTTGTTTCTGTCTGTCTCCTAGTCTTGGGTTCGGAAGATCCTTCACCGGCTAAGAATGTCATTGGAAAAAGAAGCAAGAGTAATTTCCACAGACTCAACATTTTGGAAATCAGGTTTGAGAAAATACTTGCAATAATGGAACAGAAAAATAAAAAGAAATAATAAAAAGGAACAGATCTCTACTTATACTAATTGCAGTTCTTTCGTCTGTGTGATGACGTCCTATGAGTGTACAGGTACCACGTCACCGTGTGATCAGACACAACACACAAGTACGCAAGCACCACAACACAGCAACGACAAGGTAAGTATGCCAACAACAACAGCAAACAGTTTGCTAGCAACCTTCTTCTGCCCGCTGTGTCTTCCTGATGTCAGTGCGATGATGCACTCTCCCTGACAGCTGGCACTACAATTGTATAGTCGGTTCAGTCAGTTGTACCGCCGTCGTCTTCAGAATGCTTCTCTTACTTGGCAATAATCCTGCCTGCCGCGTGTCATCCCTGGAGTGCCAACATAGCATGTACTGCCACGTCAGCACTTTGTGTCCAATCAACCAATAGCGGGATGCCACGTCCGCAAATGTGTACTCTGATCCTTGCCACTTGTCACTTCCACACGTCACGTCGCGATACCGCAGTCGTTCCAACCAGTCAGACAATGCCACGTCAGCCAAGGAGACCGATGTCACATCAGCAGTTAGTCACCACCTCACGAAGACAGGTGTGATGACTTGCTTTTTGCCACGTCAGCAATCAATCCTGTTTTCCCAAGGCCACGTCAGCATCTGCAATAGACCCTGTCGCGCGTCAGCAGCATAAAAAGTGCCACATCAGCAATCAATCAACTAGGTCTTCAGACGCGGCACAACATGTGCCACATCAGCAGGGGATCGCGATGCCACGTCACTATCGTGATCCAAGCTTGCGTGCGGTATCTCTTGGTCGCGGTCCCTACTGCCACGTCAACAGCCTCATTGGGATCTCCTCTCGCCAGTGAAATCCATGCCATGTCAGCACCCCCGGTGTATCTCTTGCCACGTCATCACCTGTTCAACACACGTGTGCACCACACTTACCTGCACGCCACCTGGTGCGTGCACACGTGTACAATTGTCGTCGTCAGGAGAAGTGCTCTGATACCAAATTCCAATGAACCCAGATCGTGAAGACAGTCGTCAACAATGCAAGTCCAGAAGAATGTCAACCAGTTGATAATTACCAATTGTCAAAATCGTGTCCAGACAGAATGAGACGAGATAATCATACACAGACGAAGGAGACAGGAGAGAGATTAGACAAAGGAGAGGAAACTTAGGAAAGAATACAAGGCCCACTCCTGCTTCGGGCTCCCTTCCTCAATCACCACCTCTATACTCAATAGTCCGGACGAGTATCTGAAGTAACCTCAATGTGCCACGTGGCACGTCTAATCAGTCCCTCATCAGCGCTGGAGCAATATCGACATGAAGACAACCAGGTACGTATCCACGATCTCTCCACAGTCCCGATCTCCTCCCGAATGTCGATAATCAGAACAGCAATACAAGTCACGTAGCTTCGCTTCGACATCGAACAGAAGATCCACGTGGCAGCAGCCACATCAGCGACAGCGCATGGCAGCTGCCACGTCAGCATGCCAAGAAGACAGGTGCAAGCCAGCCACCATGCCAGACCAGCAGCGCATCGCCGAATCACAATGCCAGCGTCGCAGTCAACGCAAGACAGAATGAATGTGAAAGCCAGGAAAGTCAGCGCTTATGTAGCGTTGACTCGGGGTCTGGACCCCGGATGCTACCACCCTCAGCCGTCCAGATCTTGATGCAAGTAAGGCCCAGATTTGTCTGAAACCGATTTCCCTCTGGCCTGGATGCTTGTCTGGGTACCTGCGCACAACAAGTGAGTGTATCCAACCAAGGGCCTGGGTGCGGTACCTTTGACTCTACAGTTGACTTTGACCTTTGAATTTCCTGTGTGCAGCGTTTGGTCACACAGCCAACGTGACAGACTCAGGCCTGGGCGTGTCTTGGTCACACAGCCCAGCGCATACCAACTCAGGTCTGTGTTGCCTGGGGCTGAGTTCTAGGCCCCAGGCTACTTCTGAACAGGGTTACGGCACCGGTAGGGGCATATTGAAAATGTCTCAGCCCCAAACGACACCAGGGGTTTTTGGAAACTTGGATCACTGTCAGAGGGGAAAATCAGGGTAAGTCGGCCGTCGGAGGGGCAAATCGCAAATAAACGCAAACTTCAGGGGCATTTCGAAAATTTTCCCTTTATTTTACTTTGTTTTGCTCTTCTGATTTCAGACAGTTGGCGCCATCTGCATTCTGGCACCCGTTTTCAAATTTCTTCTTTCGGGACTTTCCGATTCAGACACTTGTGGCCATCCAACATTCTGGCGTCCACTCTCAGACTTTTGATTTTCAGTTCTGGCACTGAGGCATTTTCACTTTCGCCCTCCGGACTGTACCCGAGTCCGGTACATATGTACTGACTCAAGCCCAGTAAGGGCACCAAGTTTTCAGCCTCAGTGCTTGTGCTCAGTGCGACTTGCTTCAACATTGTGTTCGGGAATTCAAGACTTCAACTTTTGCGACTTTTGCCACTTTGTATCTGCGTCTGTCGAGCCGTGTTCGAGTCTGCGTCGAGTTGAGTGAGCGTGTGTGTGTGCTCTCACTCTCCCTATCTCTCCCAGCCTCGTTGCTCTGCCTCTGCCCCGTCACACTCTCCCTCTCCCCTCGGTTAAAGTCCAAAGTTGAGGGGACCATGAATTCGAGCATTTGAGGAAGGCCGCACTGCAAACGGCCGACCGTCACAGCCAAAAAAAAACTGAGAAACCCCTTCCCAGGTCATGTGGATTTGGTTGACTGGTTTTCCCCGACCAGTTAGGTCCACTTCCAACCGTGTTGCTTGGATAATTTCACTAAGACTCTGAGAGTCAACAAGCTCAATTGGAAAAGGAATAAAAGGAGGAAGGACACGACCAACAAGAACAGTAATTGACATGCCAGAGAACACCACACATACCATTTGCATCAAGAGGAGGCCTGGCCAACACCACAGACAAATCCGAGATGACCATGGACCCTTCACCCTGCCATGTTATTGACATTCCACTGCTTGAACTAGCATTGTGATGGGAGTCTGACACATCGCCAGATTCTGTCACTGTCTCAGCAGAGACAGGCCTTGAAGAGAGCAAAGCCATTTTCAAGATCTCCATCTTCGATACGGACTGCAACAATGAGGTGTAGTACCTCCAAGCACGTGTGATGACGCCTTCCAAAACAGGAGTGTCAATATACACAAGCCCTCCCTGCAGAGCAAAATGTTTCACAAACAGGAGAAGAATCATGGTGTACAACTCATATCAGTCACTTTCCCCACCAAAGACAAATAAGAGCATTCAGATAAGGTTTAGCAGGTGACCATAGGACGGAACTCAGAGCTCTGAAACAGCGCCAAATCACAGGCTAGCACAGGCGGACAGTGTGTGAGACATTACATTCCCCAACATGCCTCCTGGTGAATCGTGAACCACATTGACACCCCTTCAACAAAGCAGCCACACTTACGACATCATGCTTCTTACCTCCCTCCTTTTATAAAGAGAAGAGGCAGGGAGGAGGGGGGGGCGGAGTAAGAGGGGGATTTAAAGAGCACATTCAAGCAAAATGGGAGCTTGTTTACAAACCAAGCAGAGAGACTTTGAAAGTTCATAAAGAACGTTTCAAGGAAACCAGCATGGACTTCCCATGTCTTTTGCTGTGATTTCTAAGTCTGTGTGTGTGCGTGCCTGCTGGTCTGCGTGCCTGTCTGAGTGCTTGTCGACCTGAGTGTGTGTGTGACCCGCAAGGGTACTTGTTGTTGGTTGAAAGGCCCCGCAGGGCCGGTACTTACCTGTGGCCGTGATTTTGAGGGTTGCAGCGCGGAAAACACTCAAGTAGCGGGGGTAGGCCGCGACACTTAGAGCAGCGGGAAAAACACTCAAGAAGCAGGTAGGCCGGTACCACTCAAGTAGTTGTAGAAGTGTCTGGTACTGGAGGCCGAGCAGAAGAAGACAAATGTTGGCATTTTCAGAGGCCAGTAGGTGAGTTGGCACTTTTAGAGGCCGGTAGGTTAGAGGTAGGCAGGTACCAGTCCAAGTAGCCCTAGTCTAGGGCCTGTCCGGACGATATCGGAGCCTGCAATGATGTTTCCCTCCGAAAGGGAGGAGGTACCAGTTGCTGGGAGGTCACTCCGCCTAGGAAGTCACCACCCAAGAGGCCAGTAGGCCGCTATATCTTCGGGAGGAACAAGCAGCTCCTTCTCATTTGCGGTGTGCAAGGATTGGCAACATACTGCTGGAGCCAAGCGCTGGACTTGGGAGCGCTGGCTGGAGCAGGAGAGCCGCTGGGCACTCAGCCTGCCTATGGCGAGCAGCCCAGCCTAAGGAGGAGGAAGAAGTGAGCGAAGGAGGAGAGTAGCGAGGTACCTACCTGGCTATGGTGGACACCATCTTCATCACCTTGATTGGCACTGCATCTGGAAGGCCCCAGTTGGGGT